GGGCTACTGGGAGTGAAAAGAAAAGATTTTAGAAGGAACTGGAAAGCCAATCCTAAACAGGAAACAAGGGATAAATCTCTACTTCTGCAAGGAAAATAATGCCACTAAGATGCAAGGGGCTACTGGGAGTGAAAGAGAAAGATTTTAGAAGGAACTGGAAAGCCAATCCTAAACAGGAAACAAGGGATAAACCTCTACTTCTGCAAGGTAATAATGCCACTAAGATGCAAGGGGCTACTGGGAGTGAAAGAGAAATATTTTAGAAGGAACTGGAAAGCCAATCCTAAACAGGAAACAAGGGATAAATCTCTACTAAGATCTGCAAGGATTTTAGAAGGAATAATGCCACTAAGATGCAAGGGCTACTGGGTGATAAGCCACTAAGATGGCAAACTGAGAAAAAGATTTTAGAAGGAACTGGAAAGCCAATCATAACAGGAAACAAGGGATAAATCTCTACTTCTGCAAGGTAATAATGCCACTAAGATGCAAGGGGCTACTGGGAGTGAAAGAGAAAGATTTTAGAAGGAACTGGAAAGCCAATCCTAAACAGGAAACAAGGGATAAATCTCTACTTCTGCAAGGTAATAATGCCACTAAGATGCAAGGGGCTACTGGGAGTGAAACTGTTGAAAAGATTTTAGAAGGAACTGGAAAGCCAATCCTAAACAGGAAACAAGGGATAAATCTCTACTTCTGCAAGGTAATAATGCCACTAAGATGCAAGGGGCTACTGGGAGTGAAAGAGAAAGATTTTAGAAGGAACTGGAAAGCCAATCCTTAACAGGAAACAAGGGATAAATCTCTACTTCTGCAAGGTAATAATGCCACTAAGATGCAAGGGGCTACTGGGAGTGAAAGAGAAAGATTTTAGAAGGAACTGGAAAGCCAATCCTAAACAGGAAACAAGGATAAATCTCTACTTCTGCAAGGTAATAATGCCACTAAGATGCAAGGGCTACTGGGAGGAAAGAGAAAGATTTTAGAAGGAACTGGAAAGCCAATCCTAAACAGGAAACAAGGATAAACCTCTACTTCTGCAAGGTGATAATGCCACTAAGATGCAAGGGGCTACTGGGAGTGAAAGAAAAAGATTTTAGAAGGAACTGGAAAGCCAATCCTAAACAGGAAACAAGGAATAAATCTCTACTTCTGCAAGGTGATAATGCCACTAAGATGCAAGGGCTACTTTTATTTTAGAAGGAACTGGAAAGCCAATCCTAAACAGGAAACAAGGGAGAAATCTCTACATCTGCAAGGTAATAATGCCACTAAGATGCAAGGGGCTACTGTGAGTGACAGAGAAAGATTTTAGAAGGAACTGGAAAGCCAATCCTAAACAGGAAACAAGGAATAAATCTCTACTTCTGCAAGGTAATAATGCCACTAAGATGCAAGGGGCTACTGGGAGTTAAAGAGAAATATTTTAGAAGGAACTGGAAACCCAATCCTAAACAGGAAACAAGGAATAAACCTCTACTTCTGCAAGGTGATAATGCCACTAAGATGCAAGGGGCTACTGTGAGTGAAAGAGAAAGATTTTAGAAGGAAATGGAAAGCCAATCCTAAACAGGAAACAAGGAATAAATCTCTACTTCTGCAAGGTAATAATGCCACTAAGATGCAAGGGGCTAATGTGAGTGGAAGAGAAAGAAAATGACTTTAAAAGAAAATGGAAGTTCAAATTTAAACTGGAAACAAGGAATAAACGTCTTCTTTAAAAATTTAGAAGGAAATGAAAACTCAATCCTAAACAGAAAACCAGAGATAAACCTCTAATCTTGCAAGGTGATAATGCCACTAAGACGCACGGTGCTAAACAGGAAACAAGGGATAAACCACTACTTATGAAAGGTGGTAATGCCACTAAGAGCCAAGGGACCATTGGGATTGAAAGGGAAGGAAGACACATTAGAAGGAACCGGAAGCCCAATCCTGGACCTCTACTTCTGCAAGGTGATAATGTCACTAAGAGGCAAGGGGCTGCTGGGAGTAAAAGAGAAGGAAAACACATTAGAAGGAACCGGAATCCCAATCCTAAACAGACCAAGAGATAAACCTCTGCTTCTGCAAGGTGAAGAATTTCAACCAGGCAGTGTCTGTTGGCAAGGTGATGGTTTCTTTTTCTTGGATTCTGAAAGCATTACCATGATAGACTGCCTGAAAAAGGGGTGGGGGGACTGTTAATGGACAGTCCTGTGGATCAGAATTAAGACAACTGGAGGAAGTAATCAAGTCGAAACACAGAAGGAAACTGAGGGTAGTTGTGCTCTTTTTCCAGGCTAACGTGCCCGTTTACCCTGAACTACGCAGCTAAAGCCCTCACTTGTTACTCCATCCCCCTTACTCACCAGATTTAGCTCCATCTGACGTCTTCCTTTTTCCTAAACCCAAATCCCACCTGCGGGTTACCATTTTGGAAACAATAATGAGAGTATGTTCTGCGCAAGAGTTTTTAGAGGAACAGGACTCTACCTATTTTGGTGATGAGATTGCAATACTTAAACATCGTTGGACCAAATGCATTGATGTCAAAGGGGGGGGGGTCAGTCGACTCAGTACTTTCTGAGCGACTGTTCGGTTGAACTCTCTTCCTACGGACGGGAGGAACCCGAAGGAGGCTACGCCGAAGGGCGGAGTCTCTTTCTTGGAGGTAGACCGGCCCTGAACCCCCGTTTATACGGGTTCAATGGGCATATTTTTGGCCGAGCCCACGGGCTCGGAGTGCCCACGTTAAAAAGGCCTTGTGCCACATGACACCCTCGTGGTGGTGGTGGTGGGGGGTGACTGAATATCGTCAAGTGGGGACAATGAAAAATAGTGAAAACCTGTCTTGTTTCCTTCTGGGTGGGGCTTAGATCCTTTTGAACGACCCTCGTATATACGTGTGGGAATTGAGCGGCCATGGGTCCGCAGACGACTTTGCAAACCAGTCTCGCTTCTGCGTATCTTTTTACATATGTGACACAAGTACCTCTTCAAGACCGACCCTCGAGTCTTATCACAAAATTGTTATAAGTACCGCATAGATTTATCAGGAAGGACGTAGTCCACATGAGACTGTCGATTTTCGTGTAATTTTCGATGACTAGCAAATCTGACACGAGATAGAACAACCTTTCCCCAGATACAGGCACAGATTGAATATCTTTTGGACATCACCCTACCTAAGAGGCCCTATTCAACTTTAAATGGCCTGTCCTCTTGACCGCAGAACGATTGAAACCACTAAAAACCAACTTTCACCAACCGGACCCATTCTCTCGGCGTTTTTTTTTCTCAGACACTATTCTCAAGATTTCTCAGGTTATCTGTGACAACATCCTAAAAACCTTTCTTGTGTTTGCATCTGGGGCGTCTACCAAATGCGAGGTCCCCGTAAAATAAAGGGGGCTTAGGCAATCTCTCATCTTATCTGCCACTCTCCTGAGTTGACCTGCCCAGCCCAGTTCATTACTCATGAATCATATTACGAATGGATCTTATATATATACTAGCAGTAGAGCCCGGCGTTGTCCGGGGATGTAACAGTAAGAGATAGATCAAGTATCGACCATCATAAAGACTAAAAAATAAAATTGACAAAGATTATTATTTAAGGTTGACGGACACGCATGTCTTAAGTAGTTTTTTTTTTTTTTACAAATTGGTCAAACCCAAACAAAAACATTGTTTTCAATCGTTACTTAAGAGTCTATCGATTGAATTGAGTTTTATTATAAACAATTGTCTTGTAAATGGAATTTTTAAAGCATTCTGAATGTAAAAACAAAGAAAAAGTGAGCAAGACAACAAGAAACACTACATGCCAAAAAAAAAAAAAGTGAAATTTTGTTGAAATCGGTTGAAAAATGTAGGAAATCCGATCCCATATATAAACGAACACAGACACATACATACACAAACCTGGTTTTTTATAAGTATAACTCGATATGAGTTGTCCCCCTTTCATTCTGACGACAGAATCGTGTTTTCAAATTGATTTCGTGCAAAAACAATTGTGTTTTCCAATTTTGGGCGCTATTAGAACCACCACAAGGTAATTTTACGTAGTCCTGTGAAGTTTTGTTGAAATCGGTTGAAAAATGTCGAAAATCCATCAATATATAAAAATGACACACACACACACATACATAACACACATATATAATATATGTTTTGTGTGTGTGTGTAAATATATATATATATATGTGAAAAGTGTATATAAATATAAATAAATATATATATGTATAATTTTTTTATATATTATATACGCGGTACTTTATTAGAAAGCGCTCAATATCAGAGATAGAGCTAACATATTTGGTTGGATAGATGTGAGTTTGTGACCCTGGGTTTCACGCTTTAGCGATCGTCAGACAAACAATATATATATTGAACAATAAAAAAAATTAAAATCTTCAGACGCACTGGGTTGTACATTAATATTCCTTCGTTTTTATTATTATTTCATTTACATTCCTCGACTAGTTTCGGCCAACATGGCCATCATCAGGAGAAAAATAATTTTCTGCTTGCTGGTAGCAGTGAACTACAGAAATGAATATATATATATATATATATATATATATATATATATATATAAAATAGCTAATAGTATTCGAGGATACCTGTCTACTAGGGCGGGTAGCAAATCCCTATAGCAGACGCTCGCTCAGGCACATTTTGTGTTTGTTAGACACACACAAAGCCCACCTGTGTTTTATACACCAACTATGCTGAGCAAACCTTAGTTACAGTGTTTGCGAGAGAGTGTGTTTATCTAGCGTGATCAACAATTTAAAAAAGTCAAGCACGCTCAATCCCTCGGCCACAGTGACTTTATGAATTCGTACTAGTACATCGCATTTAATAATATATATATATATATATATATATATATATATGTATGTATATAGTTAGATAGATAGGAAGTATGAAAGGTGGGAAAGAAGGAAAGATATATAGATAGATAGAAAGAAGGAAGGAAGGAGGATAGATAGATAGATAGATGAAGAGACTGATATATATGAAGATAGATAGATGAACAGATATGAAGAGACTGATAGATATGAAAATATAGATAGATATGAACAGACTTAGATATGAAGATATACATAGATAGAATAGATGAGATAGATAGATAGATAGATAGATAGAAAATACTGATAGATGAAGACTGACAGATATGAAAGATAGTTAGATAGATAGATAGATAGATAGATAGATAGATATGAAGAGACTGATATATATATAGATATACATAGATATGAACAGACTTAGATATGAAGAGACTGAGATAGATATATATATATATATATATATATATATATATATATATATATATATATATATAAACAAACTGACATAGATATCTAGATAGATAGATATGAACAAACTGACATAGATAGATAGATAGATAGATAGATAGATAGGAAAGGAGGAAGGAAGGTAGAAAGGAAGGAAGGTAATAACCAAAGTCGTTACTAAATGCTTTATTGTCTACTTTGATCGGGTTAACAAACGTGTCTATCTATACCAATTACGAACCGGGTAGTGAGTTCGATCCTCACTGGGCGTTCTATTCCTGCAGCCGTGTGGTACGCTTAGCAAATCTCAAAATACATTATTTTGTGCTGTATTCAAGAATTCTGTTATTTTAGTTACATCGAAGTATCCCATTCTCCGAAGCATATAGCTATTTAAACAACTTGTGTAAGAGCTCTTGCGCCAAAAAGAATCATTGTTTGCACTCATCAAAATCCTAAAAGAAAAACGTATTGGATTGCAAATTCATAGATAGATAGATTGCCGGATCAGCGGTTTAGTGAGAGATACGAATTAGAGAGGGGCAAAATTTTAATGGGTTCGATGTGTTTGAAGAGTCCTTTCTGTATATTATATTCGTACGAACAGCGAACGAGGGAGAATAAGCATCCGGGCATCATTTCACCAAGGCGGCTTTGAGGATGAATTTCTCGTGCGTAGATGCATTCACCAGCATACCTCTCATACCATCGCGTCTCTCCCCCGCCTCCTCAGACATTTGTACTGCAGCTAAGAATTAAAACTGAGAAGACAAAAAAAAATAAAGCAAGCAACGCGTGCTAATATAACACAAGACGCTTAAAGTGGGCCATTGCCATATCACCGACGAAAAAAAAAAAAGCGATGGAAGTATAAAAATTGTTTTCGTCTGTTTATTTTTTACGAGTTTTATTTTTTTATCTGTTTATTTTTTTTATCTGTTTATTTTTTTTTTATCTGTTTATTTTTTATCTGTTTATTTTATTTTATTTTATTTTATTTTTTACAGTGTCAGCTAGTTTGCTAGATAGATAGTGTGAGGACACAGAAATCCATACTAAATGCCGAATCTCAATTTCACGATCATTGTCTTCGTTCGTAAATTCAAGTCTAAATCATCGCCTGACCCACATTCACTTGGCGTCAGTTCAAACTTTTTTTTTACAAGGTTATAAAGCCACTAAGATGCAAGAGGTTAGTGACTGCGATAGAATATGATAAAAAGTTCATTGTCTTCTCCCAAGAATTCAAGTCTAATCATCGCTTGACCCATCTTCACTTGGCATCAGTTTAAACTTATTTTTTTATCTATTTTTTAAAATCATTTCCCCAACTTTCAGGGCGATAAAGCCACTATGACACAATGGGAGTAAAACAAATTCGTTTTAATCATTCGACCCGAAACAAGGTAATGAAGCCACTAAGACGCAAGAGGTTAGTGACTGCGAGAGAATATGATAAAAAGATCATTGTCTTCACTCGAGAATTCAATTCTAATCATCGCTTGACCCATATTCACTTGGCGTCAGTTTAAACTTTTTTTATCTATTTTTTTTAAAATCATTTCTCCATCTTTCAGGGTGATAAAGCCACTATGACACAATGATAGTGAAATGAATTCGTTTTAATCATTCCACACCAAACATGGTAATAAAGCCACTAAGACGCAAGTAGTTACTGACTGCGAGAGAATATGATAAAAAGAAAACACTATTAAGGAGAGAGAACAATAGAAGAACAAGAATTAAGAAGACTGAAGATAACGATTGACATTGCATTTAAATTTTTAAAGATCAAGGGGAATAAAGCCACTAAGATGCAAGGGGATACTGAGTGTTAGAGAATAGGAGAAAAACTGCTATTAAGGAGAGAGGACAATAAAAGAAGAATTAAGAAGACAGCAGATAACGATTGACATTTTATTTAAATTTTTGAAGATCAAAGGCAATAAAGCCACTATGATGCAAGGGGTTAGATGAGGGTTAGAGAATAGGAGAAGAATATACTATTAAGGAGTGAGGACAATAAAAGAACAAGAGTTAAGAAGACAGAAGATAACGATTGACACTGCATTTAAATTTTTGAAGATCAAAGTTAACTGCAAAGCAAGAGAGTTCCACAAGCAAGAAGTGCGATAGAAAAAACTGCCCAAACTATGAGCGTTATACGAACGTTATAACAGTTTCTGGCTATAACAATTTTACATTTGAAACGTCTAAATATAACAGCAAGTCCTATGCTGACAGTTTCTTCTACTCTCGCACTTCTCGCTTGTGGAACTTTTTTTGTGGGGGGGGTCTTGCTTTCCAACGTTGAGTGAAGAACAGGTTTAATCACTCGGGCGACATGGATTAATAATACAGTCATAGAGAGTTCAGTGCGGCAATGCGTACGGCTCAAGCGCTACACCTTACGACCCACTTTGCGACGACCGCTACTATGAGCGGATGTTTCTACTCCTAGCTCATGGTTCGAGTCCATGTTCAACAGTTAGTATCGAGAAGGTCGGTCGTCTTTCTACGCCACAAAAATGACGAGACCTCGCCGCCAATCCAGTACTGCGTTTAAATTCATAAAGTCCAGGTACCACGGAGAAAAGCTCATTAGAACAATTACGATGAAAGTATAGAAAAGGCACAGGGAAGCTACGTTAAGACTGTGGGAGAGAAGCCGGTTAAAGACTGCGGAAGACCGTAAAAGAACAATATTCATTTTAAGACAGTTTTATATATATATATATATATATATATATATATGAAGACATTTAATGTTTATACATTCTTTTTATAGATACAAATATTTAAGTAAATGCTCTGTTTATAATAAACAGTATTAAACAACATTTACCGGCCTGAATGTCCGAGAAATTTACATAGAAAATATTCGTCCTCCGACAGGAATCGAACCTGTATCCTATACGTCATATAGTCTGACGTGCCTTTAACCGATTGGCCACAGAGGAGCGTTGGGTTAGCAAGGTCGAATTTACTGTCTTTAAACTTTGATCTTCTATGAATCTCTCACGTACATTCATATCTGCTCAAAGCGTATCCAAATGTAAACAAATGACGTCACACATTATGAAATGGACAAAGTCCGACAATTATTTTAAGACATTCTTATGTTTATACATTCTTTTTATAGATACAAATATTTAAGTAAATGCTCTGTTTTATAATAAACAGTATTCATGAGAACAGAATGTGACGATTGACGTTGGATATAAATATTTGAAGATCGTAATTAACAGGAAAGAAAGAAGCCGGAAGAAAGTTCCACAGGCAAGAAGTGCGAGAGAAGAAATTATTGGAAAAGAATCAACGGTTACACTTAACAATTTTCAACAGTAAAATGAGACCTTTCTCCCAATCCAGTACCCCGCTTGAAGTCGAGATGCACCCCCCAACAAAAAAAAATATAATTCTGGTCAATGAGGCAGGTATTAAAAATCTACCTGCTGAAATAAATTATCTGATTTTTCGAAATGTGTTAAAGTTTTTTTTTCCTTTTATATATATATATATATATATATATATATATATATATATATATATATATGTGTGTGTGTGTGTGTGTGTGTGTGTGTGTGTGTGTAGCTCTCTTCATGGATCTATCTTTATATTTTATACTAAAAGACCTACTTGGTTTATCCTTTCCACTTACGGATCTTATATTGAGCACTTTATCCCGTAAATATAGCATACCTTAAAACTATATTTCTTCATATATATATATATATATATATATATATATATATATATATATATATATATATATATATATATATTCTTCATATATATTTTTACTTCATATATATATATATATATATATATATATATATATATATATATATATATATATATACATTGTAAACAAGCGTTCACAATGTAAAGGGAGCTATATATATATATATATATACATATATATGTATATACATATATGAAGGAAAATATATATGAATATATATATATATATATGAAGAAAAATATATATATATATATATATATATATATATATATATATATATACATTGTAAACAAGCGTTCACAATGTAAAGGGGAGCTATATATATATATATACATATATGTATATACATATATGAAGGAAAATATATATGAATATATATATATATATATGAAGAAAAATATATATACATATATATATATATATATATACCTCCCTTAGACTGTGAATGCTTGTTTATAAAACAAACACCATATTTACAATGGGAAAAATTTTAATTTTAAAATAATTATAGCAGATTATGCTCACGCGTGTTTACTAAAATCACCATGACAACGATCACAACTGCATTAATTTTGGCTGAGGATGATCTCGAAGCCGATCGAAAGTACCTGTGTTAACAAAAACTACGCCGCTTCCCTTGATGAATTTCAGCTTAACATCAAGAAGCTAATTAGAGAACTAGAAAGGATTATTACAAAAATAAATAGACATAATATGTCGATATTGTGCAATGAAACCTGCTTCAATGAATATATGCTACACACACACACACACACACATATATATATATATATATATATATATATATATATATGTATATAAATAAAAAGAAAGAACAGTAAGATATAAAATCCGGTGTTCTTATAGATATTTTTATTTTAACAAAATAGTGCTCAATGTAAATTTACAGAGCATTAATATTATAAATTAATTGATTTAAAATATGTTTTTTTTTTCGCTACACAGTTGTTTTTAGCTTCTATTTTTGAAACATGGTTGGAACTGTGTAAAAAAAAAATATTTTAAATCAATTAATTTATAATATATATATATATATATATATATATATATATATATATATATATACGCAAGTAATTTTTATAATTTTAAACTTAATAGAGATTAAATTTAGATTTTAAAATTGGTGATTTTTTAATTTTAATATCAATTTTTATCATATAATTTAATACTAATTGGTTAAAATAAATTCTATTTTAGTATAACCCCAATTTTAAAGCTCTTAATAGCTATTATAACCTCACTTCGTTGTCAAGTTTTTTGAATTCTCTTATACTTGTGTTTTGATTGGTCATTCTAGCTTTTGTAAAAGCGTTTTCCCCTTACGAAGGATCGTTAATTAATTTGAAACTTTTAAAACCATTTATTTTACATTCAACATCATCACTTGATAAGACACCGTAGGTGTTGAAACAAAATGG